TATATTACTTAATTTTATTTTTTACTTATTTACAAACTTGTTTTTCAATCGCCCTTTGACATCGATTTTGAACATTTTGGCCTTCGGCTTGGCCAAAAACAAAATGCAAAAGGCAAAATCTTGCCTCGCAGAATGAATATTTAAATATGTTTCGCAACCTTTGTATGGGAAACACGGCACTACATGGATTTCATGCTGCAACGATTTCTTTTCCCACTGAGTTTTCAATTAGCGCATTGTTTTGCCCAACCTAGGCATGAATTTTTAAATATTTAACTGTCGTTTCACAAAGTTTGAATGTTTCGCAATCACTCGCAGTGCAGTTGATGCACTCTATTTACTCTATTTATACGCAATTTGCTTGTGCATTTTGTTATACATGTGTATAACAGTGAGTGAAAAACTTGCATACAAAAAGGATTGAAAAAATATCGCAGAGTATCAGCTGTGGGTTTAAAGTACTTAAGCTTAAAGCATATTAAAAAATAAAATATTTCTTTCTTTTATCAATAAAACTAGCTTTATAGGATACAAAATGATTTGGTATTAATTTTTTAATTTAATTTCTATGGTTAGCCACGGGCTTCCTCATTAGTTACGCTATACAAAAGATTAAATGAAATGAACAGCATCATAGCTGCCAAATAACTGTTGACCGTTTCGCAATGTCGCTCGATGATGTCTTTCACTCACACTCTGAGAAAGCACTCAGAGCATAACCGATTGCATCGGTTCGGTCGACGGGCTCGCTCGCGATCGGCTCGTAACCGTTTCGCTTTGTTTTGTCTCGCTCTGGCTCAGCTAGACTCTCTGTTCGCCGCCCGTTTGGTAGAGTTAAATGAAGCAAACAGTCCTTTGTGTATGTATTGGTATGTATGCGAGACTGTGTTTGCTAAGCATATCAACTGCGTACGTGAATTGCATGTGTATGTAATTGTGAGTATTTGAGTATTTGCCCACTTACTGAATCCCATTGAGCGAACGTCAATCGTGTCTCTCCCTTGACGATGTTCGTTAAAAGAGCATAACACGAATCGTTCAACGCAAGGCGCTTAATAGAAAAGAAAAACAAACAGAACCGAAGTCTCCTTCTAAGAGCGAGAGCGAGTGAACATGATTTTGTTCGGTTGACCGAGCGAGCGGAGCATAAGGCATCCAACTTGTAACAGTTATTTGCAAGCTAAGCTGAAGACTTCTGTAGGCAATGGATTACTCTACAAGTTGATATTAATTTTATGCAATCTCTAACTAATAAAATAATACAAAATAAATGAATATTTGCAAGCTGGCCCAAAAATGATGATTGTACATGATAATCGAAAAATGTAATAATAATAATT